TCTCCTCCAACCACGAGTGGGAAATAGATCCCACCATCTTGCACCAAATCTTCCAATGCTGGGTTTTTTCCCCAGATAGACCTATTTGCAACCCAGACCAACAAAAAATGTCTGCGGTACTACTCATGAGCGAGCATTGACTCATTTTCCCCAGGAGATGCATTCACAATCCACTGGGGCATAGCACTCCTCTGCTTTTCCAACAATACCTCTTCTCCATTGGGTGGTCAACAAGATCCAAATGGACATAGCCAATGTCATCCTCATAGCCCCAGACAGACCTGATATACTTACCTGCTCTAAATGTCATCCAAGTGACCATGGCATCTCCCTTTGCTCCCGCATCTCCTCAGCTAGCACTGCAGTCACCTCCATCATCCATACCTCCTCACTTTCCAGCTCCAGACATGCTTCCTCAGTGGCTCACTCCACTAGAATCACAAGGCACAAACCAAGTCCAAGAAATTCTTCTCAATAGCTGCAGAACATCTACTCAAAAAGCTTACTTGTACAAATGGTGATGCTTCTCTGACTGATCCCAAAGAAACAACCTTGATGTGGCTTCAGCTCCACTACTTGCAATCCTGCAATACATCATGGAGTTTAAGAACTTGGGCCTCTCCCTGAGCTCCCTTAAAGTCCATCTTGTTGCAATCACAGCTCTACACCAACCAATAGACAATATATCGGTGTTCACATACCCCTTAACTAAAAGGGGATAACATTTTGTTGAGAGAAAATGTTGAAATGAAGACAAACGTGGATAGTCTCTGATACACTTTACAATTTGAAGCATTTCATAATTATTCACCTGATTTCTGGACCAAATTATTATTATGTAACCAACAGCAAAATTTGAGTTATTACATCTACAGTTGAAGCTTTTTTGCATTCCACATAATTGAACTGAATATATTGCCTTGTGGAAATAAAAAAAATCTAAAATTTAGTCAATTTACAGGTATTTTTTATTCAATTTCTTAATTCATTCCTTTGTGCTAGAACAGGAATAAAAATAAGTCTTTCTAAATTTGAATATCATAGAATCATAGAATACTAGTACTGGAAGGGACCTCAAAAGGTCAACAAGTGTAGTCCTTTGCCCTCATGGTAGGACCAAGCACCATCTTTATCATCCCTGATAAATGACTATTTAACTTGCTTTTGAATTAAAAGTAACACCTGTCTGTCGGAGCGAGGACTTTTTTGGAAGAGCCCTAGGTGTGCAGCACAGGGGAGAAGAACACCACTTTGCCTGACCAGGAACTTGAGCCCTGGCCCTCAGATTAAAAGTATGATGCTCTACCAACTGAGCTAGCCAGG